CATAGCTCAAAGTCATTATAAAGAAGCCTTATGTTGAACAAGTTTATTCCGAACTGACCACCGAGCCGCTAGTGACCTGTTGGCCTCATTTGGAGACGTATCAATAGGTAGGGGAAAGCACAAAAAGCATTCAATAGTCGGCCCGATCTACATTTAGAATAGGGCTGAAGCGAGGCCCTATGTCCTGGCCCAAAATGAAAAAAGAGAAGACTTTTCAATCCTTATATCAGTCGGCCAACCTCCCACTTAGGCTCACCCCAACCCAAAGGCTAAAAGGGCAAAACACCCTTTTAGCCTTCAAAAATCATCTTCAATCAAGGGGCATATTGAGGGGCTAAATGGGTAAAACTAGTTTTTGGAAGTTAAAATAGGAGGGTTACTATTTGCCGCCCGGGCAATTACTATTTGCCGCCCGTAAAAAACACTAAAATGACAATTTTGCCCTCCAAATATTTCTTTATATTCTATTCGCTGAAATGGTTTTTTAAACAACTTACACACTACCCGAGTCCCGACCACCAACCCCCCACAAACACCACAGCCACCGGACGGCAGCCAAACTCGCCGGCCACCGGACCAATCTCGTCAGGATAATTCGCCGGGCACTGGACGGCAGCCGTACCCCGTCGTCGGACCAGCGAAGCAGGTAAACCTCTTGTTGATCCTGAATTTTTTGTTCGGTCCGCTCGCCGGCGTCGGACCCCGTCCGCTAGCCGGAGGCGGACCCCGTCCGCTCGCCGTCGTCGGACCGCGTCCGCTCGCCGGCGTCGGACGGCCCGAGTCCCGACCACCAACCCCCCACAAACACCACAGCCACCGGACGGCAGCCAAACTCGCCGGCCACCGGACCAATCTCGTCAGGATAATTCGCCGGGCACTGGACGGCAGCCGTACCCCGTCGTCGGACCAGCGAAGCAGGTAAACCTCTTGCTGATCCTGAATTTTTTGTTCGGTCCGCTCGCCGGCGTCGGACCCCGTCCGCTAGCCGGAGGCGGACCCCGTCCGCTCGCCGTCGTCGGACCGCGTCCGCTCGCCGTCGTCGGTCGCCGTCCGACGCCGGCGAGCGGACGGGGTCCGACGCCGGCGAGCGACGACCGGTTGCATAACAGTGTTGTATTTTTTTCTATTTTATTTCTAGAGCTAATAATTTATAATTTATTGCTTTTATTTCTATTTTACATAGTTAAATTCCTTTGTAGTTTGAATTAAGCGAATCGTATTTTGTTGTAGCGCTAATTAGTTTCTTACTGTCAAATTATCGTTATTTTGTAGAGTTAATTAAATTATTGCATGTAGTTTAATTTTGTAGAGTCAATTGAAGCACAATTAGTTTAATTAAGCGATTGTGTTTTGTTGTAGCGCTAATTAGTTTATTGTGTTTAGATATAATTCGTAGAGCTAAAGATGTTTAATAATTTATATTAAAATAATTTTCTTATCGTCAAATTATCATTATTTTTTAGAGTTAATTAAATTATTGCATTTAGTTTAATTTTGTAGAGTCAATTAAAGCACAATTAGTTTAATTAAGTGATTGTGTTTTGTTGTAGCGCAAATTAGTTTTATTGTGTTTAGATTTAAATCGTAGAGCTAATTTGGTTTAATAATTTATATTTAAATTATCTGTATTTTTTAGACTTAATTAAATTATTGCATTTAGTTTAATTTTGTAGAATCATATAATTTGTACATTTCTAACGAGAGTCAAAATCATAATTGCAGGTGGACATGGCTGACAATGTTGAACTAATTGGTGATTACACAGACCATTTTCTCAATGGCGTCCGATATGCCAATTTCGAAGATCCTGTAACAGTGACCAAAAACATCGCGATGTCTCTTGGTTTCTTTCTAACTAAGGGATCGATGAAGCCACGTGAGTTGGGCAACGAAAGATCATTGGGTATCTGTTATATGTATTGCGACAGATGCAGTAGGGAGAGGAAGTCATACAAGCCGGATCCTTCCAAAGAGAGTCGTGACAATACAAGTTCAAAAGGAGCGGGATGCATGTTCAAGATTAAAATCAAAGAACTACTGGTTAATCCAGATGCTCTTGATGGACCTACATTCTGGGAGATACAAGGAGTCGCGGAGCAAGGAACCGGTTTAAGGCGAGGGTATCACAGTCATGAGAAAATGCTTTATCCCGAGGGCCACAGTCAAATGAATAAATTGAGTCAGGAGGATAAAGAATCTCTTAGGCAGATGAGAGATGTTGGGGTACCTCCGTCGCAACAGAAGCAGACAATAAACAAGCAGAAGGGTGACAAAGGGCATCACACCCAAAGGCAGATGTATAACCTCGGGTCCAAGTCTAGGAAAGACGAGATGGGCGAGATGAATGCAGTGCAGTATGCGTTGCTACAAGCTGAACGTGAGAATTATCATACAGAGGTTATGAAGGACGATGACGACGTGCTGACACATCTTTTCTTTGCCCATCCAACTTCCATCCAGATGTTGAAGGCTTGGCCGTACGTGATTCTGATCGACTCAACGTATAAGACCAATGCATATAAATGGCCGTGGGTGGAGGTCGTAGGTGCAACTCCAGTTGGGAAGAATTTCAACATCTGTTGTGCTCTCATGAAGGACGAGACAAAAGAGTCGTATTTGTGGCTGTTGCAGTGCATACAACAATTGCTCCATCCTCGCGTGCCCTCTGTCATCGTCACCGACCACGAAGGTGGACTACTTGCTACGGTTCCTGTGGTCTTCCCCCGCACCCCGCATTTGCTATGTGTTTGGCACATCAACACCAATGTGCAGAAGAAGTGCTTGGAAATATTTGGGAAGAACAGGATGGATTTGGTCAACGAGGCGTACGACCAATATTGGTGTCCTATGCTTTATTCTTGGTCAGAGCAAGGTATGTTGGCCGCTTTAGGACAAGATGGGGCAATCAAGAACCACGTCTGTTGCAATACATACAGGGAGTGTGGTGGCAACATCGAGAAAAGTGGGCTGTTTGTCATACAAAAAATGTGTTTCATCTAGGAAATACGAGCACAAACAGGGTTGAGTCGTCACATTCCGCTTTGAAGACTTTCCTCCACAACTCGCGGGGATCTATGGACACTGTATGGAAAGGAAACCACCGCTACATTACTAACCAACTCGGGGAGGTTAGGATGATGTTGGAAAACTCTAGACAGAAAACCCTTTCAGCATCCGGTGGTACACCATTCACATTCTTGAGAAGGAAGGTCAGCATGCAGGCAATTATATTAATGAAGGAGGCTGAAGAAGAATTGGGTGCCCGCTTGGAAAAAAATGAGAACTCCCGATGTGCATGTCATTTCTCTGTGACACACGGCTTGAGGTGTGGATGTCAAGTTATGGATGGCAGAGCGCGAGACATAGAGATATATCCCGGTGATATTCATATATATTGGCGGACACTGTCATACGAGCATCCACCCAATGCTCAGGAGTACGTTCCCCAGGAGGAGGAGGCTAGATCTCACCTTCGGGAGTTGGTTGATGAGGCTGTACGCAGAGGACCAGAGGCAACGAAAAAAGCAGCAAAGAACGTGTTTCGCGGTCTCCACCCGGCGGAGGACAACATTCACGAGCCAGAAGTGAACGAATTTAGAAAGGGGCGCCCAGCCAAAAAATCAACTGGAAGAATGAAAGGGTGGTGGGAAAAGATACTGCGAGGCAATAAGAAAAGCATGAAAAAGAAGTCGGGAAGCACAACGTCGGGGTCTACAAAGTCGACCAGTACCAAGTCCACGGGGACTCAGACAGACGAGTATCCGTTAGACGACCATGCAGCGGAGGAGTGTGATGACCCAGAAGATAACAACAGATACAACTGTCCTGACACAGGTACAATTTAATTTTTTCATAAGTGTAGTTATTTATATTAATATTTTACATCGCATTTGTGCTGATTACCTATTTCCTTCACAGATATCCCTGGAGCCAGCAGCACCCATTCTGATTACCCACACATGGAACACCTTCCTGTCTTCATTCGGCCGCTTGTCATTGCCATCCACGACCCGGCGCCAGACGGCCATTGTGGGTTTCGTGCACTTAGTTTTGCACTATATGGTAGTCAAGAAGGGTTCACAGGGGTGAGGGCACGACTTGCTGAAGAAATGCGTGAGCACGATTGGCGATACGCACCCATCTACGGTCCCGGCATCAATGATGCAATCAGACGCATTGACATCACTACTACAGCACCAACGACTGAACATCATTGGATGATGGGTGTGGATCTATTCGTATTTGCCACACTATTTAATTTGGCGGTTGTCATGTACAGCACTTACCTCTACCCAACTCCACAATCGTACCCATGCACCATTCTGCCAGTGGACAACATACATGGGGAAGCCCACCCTAGAGGAGTCATTGTTGTGCATTTCGTCCAGAATCATTGGATCAACCTCTCTTTCCCGGCGGACAAGATACAGATCCCCTCCACATGCCATGTGGCCAAACGGTCACCAAGAAAGCGTGGATGGATGGGAGACATATTTCGCTCCGTTTTTTCAAATGTGGTTCGATCTTGGGGGTGCGGCGAGTAACTTTCCATCACGAAAAAAGAGGGGTCCAAAGAAATAAACTTGTACTCGTCTTCAGTTTAAATAAATTGTAATGAACGTCTTCAATTTAAATAAATTGTAATGAAGTTTGTTTACGTCACATGGAAGCATGATATAATAAAAACATCCAAAGTACAACATAAACCACATAAGTCATAATCAGATTACACAAATAACATAAGTCATAGTCCCAAAACAACAAATAAGCAACTGAACACCACATAACATAAGTCGTAGTAGAACACATAAGTCAACTCGTCTAAAAACAACAAATAACACTCATACATATGACATAATAATCATACAACTACTGTGGAGGTGGTAGAAAACCCGACTTCCTCCTAAACTCGGGCCACATGTTCCCAACTCCATGACATAAGTCGTAGTACTCGTCTGCGCTAGCCATCCACTACTCCCTACTACCCTGTGCAGCATCCATCACGGGAGATATCTCAACCCACATCTCGCGTGACAACTGTAATAAAAAACCATACAATTTAAATACATATTAGTTACAAATAATTTAATACAAATAATATAAAATATAATTGTACTAACCGTATCAGCATCCGAGATGTCATCAACAGGTCGGCTGTCACTCAGTATATGTGGGTGCGAGTGCCTAATGTACCAAGACATGTAATTCTCAGCAAACTCCCATGGCCTACGTCGTATCTGAGTAGAAAAAAGGTCCAGATGCACACTATGCGCCCCCAAGTTGTTCCAATACGAATCATAGACAGACTGGTAGCTAAGAGAGTATCCAAGCGTGGAAGCAGGTCGACGCACAACAAGCGGACGCTCCGGTGGATACGGTACACCCTGCACGTAGCCTAACTGTCGGAGGCACCTAGTGGGATCATAATATTCTGCTATCTCTGCAAATCTGAGCAGGCCCTGGTACAAGGTACGTCTCACCGTCAGATGAGGACTACGACCATACGGAGTCCAACTAACTGACTGAGGGGTCAAACTATCAATAGCCTGCCGATAGTAAGCCAGCATCTGTGCATCCCTCCTTTTACTCGACGGGGGTGCTGTACCGCGCCACCTTAATGCTCCTGCCTGCCCCTGCTCCAGCTCTCGTGGCTCCAACCGACTAGGCCTCAAAGTAGGAAAGTGGTCGTAAATCCAACATTGTAGTAAAGTCAGACAACCCGCCACTCCCTTAGCCTCCGCCCGGGAGGCAATACCAAGCTGCCTGTACAGATAAGCAAGTGCTCCAGCCCCCCACGCATACTCTCCTAGCATATCCGGCCTCTTCAAAACAAGTTCACAACAGCAGAAACGCGGTCCTTACTCTTATCTACGAACAGTGTGGACCCAAGCAGCAAAAGAAGGTAACACTGAGCCTCTCTAGCTGGCGGACCAGACTGCTGCAAATGAGTCAAAGCTCTCACACCCAACAAACCAAATCCTCTGTACCACCTAGACAGACTAGCAACCTCGCCAACCTGCGCCCCGTACTCATCCTCGTCACGATCTAATCCCAGTAGTGCTCGGATGTCAGCCTCTAGTGCAAACTTCTCCAACTGCCTCGGATCCACTACCATCGCCTCTCCGTCAACCGCAAGCCCAAGAATGTGTGCCACATCGTGAAGGAGGATCGTCATCTCTCCAAACGGCATGTGGAAGGTGTTAGTATCCGGCTGCCACCTCTCCACAAATGCCGAGATGAGAGCAGGGTCCAGCTCGCTCTGGAAGGTGATATCAACGAGGTGAGCAAGGCCCGATGTCTCTACGGTAGTCCTAGCGTTATCATCTGCTATCTGATAACCGCCGAGAACGTTATCAACCGCATCCGACTCATACTCCTCCGACTCGTCGTCAATCTCGTCTGAAGGCTCAAACGGTGAAGTATGATGATCAATACTGGGACCAGCTCCACTACCACCCGTACTAGGCATCCGAAAATCAAACTGAGGGAAACCGTCTGCCCTATATCTCATCGGTGTCACCTGTGGCTGTGGCTGTGGCTGTGGCTGTGGCTCATCTCTATCATTTCGGTTATTTCTCACACTAGCGCTAATGTTACGCCCAATGAATCTTTTCAATCTCTTTCCTGGTCCTCCAGAACTACGTGATCCTCCAGAATTACCAGATGACGCCATCTCTAAATATAGACAATAATTTTCTATTAATATCTTATTGGAAATTATTTGTTGAGCAGTTACTTGTTGTTCATAGAGTAATTATGATACATACAATTTGTTATCTACTTAATATTTCGTTTGATGTTATCTACTTAATTTAATTAATTTGTTATAATAAATTATTAGATTAGCAATTTCTTCATAGTCATAATTTATCAATTACTAATTATGATACATACAACTTGGTTATCTAATTAATTTATCAATTACTAATTAATTTAACTAGATAGTTATTCAAATAATTATTTCAACTTACCCAATACTTAAACTAACACATTATATAATTAATTAACAATTATAATTATTTCAACTTACCTAATTAATAAACTAACGCATTATATAATTAATTAAAAATTATAATTATTTCAACTTACCCAATTAATAAACTAACGCATTATATAATTAATTAACAATTATAATTATTTCAACTTACCCAATATATAAACTAACACATTATATGTTCCAATTAACAATTATATACAAATTAATGAACTATCAATATTAAACTAATTAATATACTAACAATTGTATTTAAAATAAATCTAATAAATATTTCTTTAAACCGAACCATTCAAAACGAATCAAAAACTCGATCAACCGGTCCGACCAGACCGGGCGGACGGGGTCCGCTCCGACCGGGCGGACGGCGTCCGCTCCGACCAGGCGGACGGCGCCGAGACAGTATTAAAAAAAAAAATACCTCGATTGCGAGCGACTCCTGGGCGGCGACTGCGAGCAGAGGGGGAAGTCGGCGGCGGCGGCGGCTTCCTGGGCGGCGACTGCGAGCAGAGGGGGAAGTCGGCGGCGGCGGCGGCTTAAGGAGGGGGAAGGCGGCCGGCTGGGGGAAGGTCGGCAGAGTGGTGGGGTGGGGGTGCAGCGGCAGGCAGGGAGGGGTGGGGTGGGAGGGGTGTGGGGGTGGGGGTGGGAGGGGTGGATAGATAGGGTTAGGGGGCAGGGGCAATTTTGTCTTTTCTGTCCTAATTATGGGCGGCAAATAGTAAAACGACGGGCGGCAAATAGCGATTCATTAAAATAGCTCCAATTTGTGAAGGGCCCGAACGAGGGGCTATATGGTGGGACCCTCCAGCCATTCACTACTTTCCCTTTTTATTTTTTTTCTTTTGCGTTTAAACTTTTAAATGGTTTTTAGGTGTTATTTTAGCCAACAAAATCGACTTCGATGGAACTTTCTTCCGTTCGGTTTCAATTTGAAGACCAAAATTTATATTCAATGAACAAATTTCATTGAACAACAAATGTATCTCATAAATTGATTAATTATTTAATTTTATTAAAAATGAAATGTACATGTTTGTTATGGGTGTTTTCTAAAACCAACGAAACTCATTTCGTTGCAACTTTCAACTATTTGATTGCTATTTAAAGACAAACAGAATTTATTAAAATTTTGGAAAGCTCACCATTTCAACTTAAAACAAAAGTATCTCCAAAATTGTTCAAAATCTTGAAAATTTTGAAGAATGAAGCTCACTTTATCTAACTTTCGTCCATTTCAACTAAAAACAAAAGTATCTCAAACTGCTCAAATTTTATCAAAATGTTCGTATCGAATTGTAATGAATGAACATATAAATTTTTGAATTAAAAAATACAAGTTTAACTATTCATAAGTTAGAATTACTAAAAACGAGACAAAAAATATAGCACCCGGGTTGTCGCAGTTTCTGGTTTCGAGGATGCTAAAAATAAATGTTAACTTTGCGTAGGTGTCTTGTTTATCGGCTTGTCCTTATACCATATTAGGTGTGTTTTTGTCTTGCAAGCTTGATGTGATGTGATGTGTTGACTACTTAGTTGAGTGTCTCATGCTTAACACCTAGATAGTCTAAAAGGTTTGACATGTGAGGGGTATCATGCTTATGGGGACTTCATGATGAATGTGGCCACCATCTCATGATAGTGGTGATCACATTGGTGTCAATTACCTTGATGTTCAATGCCTCAATGATATCTATTGTCTTATTGGGTAGGTATCATGCTTGATACCCATGAGGCCTATCATGCTTGTCTATTTGGGTGCACGTGTCCACCCCAAAATTAGCTCCTTATAATTTTGGGTTAGGGCTTCTATTCTCCTTAATGAATTGCTTAATACATCCACCAAGCCTTCATCAAATATGATGATACCTATCCAATCTGTATGAAATCTCCTTCTATAAATAAACCATCAACCCACCAAACATCTCACCAATTGAATCCCCCGACACGTGAGGAAAAACTATACAATCGTAGTCTCTTAGATGAGGACTAAGGCAATACCTGTCTCTTGCAACCATATGTACGACTACAACCTACTTTTCCCGATGACGAGCTATCTCTTTTCATTGTCTTCATAAAAAAAGTGTTCTTTTGGCATATGGAGTGTGATACCAACCAACTTGACTTCAGTGCCCACAATCAACAATTCACTTTCAATCCAACTTACCCCTCTATGCCATGGTTAGCTAACCAAACTGTATCCATAAAAAAGGGTATAATGTCATGTCTTATGGTGAGACAAAATATGATCATGCCAGCCATCATGGTGGCTAGTTTAAGGACATAAAATTTGCAGACACCCCATATCTATAAGAAAAGGGACATCGGATTTGAGATACTAGGCATTGACTAATCATGCAGTATTCCATATAAAAACTTAAACAAGTAAGCCTCATTGAGGTTGACATGGAGGATCCATGCCACATACCGATAAATAGCATTTGCATCATTGCATGTTTTGCAAGCATACATGGTGTACCCAATAATTAAAGGTGTGTAGTAGGTCTACTTGGATACGATTAACCACACACATAACTCGACTATGTGTGGCATAAATCAAACTCATCAAGAATGATTATCCAGAGTTGCGAGTCATGGCAATGTACACACATAACCCGACTATGTGTGACATACATCCACCACTTCGGCATCTTCATTTTTTAGCCATGATTAGTTTATTGTTTTCTTTACTTTTTACTTTTTCTGTTGTTAGTAGTTTATTTTATATTTAATTAATTATTTTAATAAGCTAGGGGTAACAAACATCACTATTCACAACCATCTTTGGCGACTACTAAAAATTCTAAAGGCGTACATCCAGTACTGCCAAGTCAATGGACCAAACCATGCAAGCTACTACTTTACCACATGCCTTCTTTCCTTAGAAGGAGATGCCTCCTTATACATTATTTTTTGTAACTTTCCAACTTAATTATGGAGGGTTCTTGGTCAACATGTCTTGCTTTGATAGCCTTGCATAGGGTCTCATTCTCCACTTCTTTGGGTCACCTCACGATATGTGTTTGCCTCTTTCCAACTCATTTGCTTCATCAAAGGGACCACAATCTATCTGACGACATAATTTTCCATGGATTCACATACCCTCCATATATAGTTGGGAAGATGGGTGTTTCGGTTTAACGAGTCGACGACCACCTTTATGGCCAACTCGACCATGTCTTCCAACACTACAACACATATGACTTGGTGCCTTCTGCACTTAACATATCCACCACTTTTGGTTTGTTTGTAGGACCATGCTTGATTGGTGTATGTTGAGTTATCTTATGCATGTCCCTTGCCCACCATTCATGTTTGGCATGCCATGGGGATTCAACGGGATGAAAGTACCCCCTTGTCCACTACTTGACACGCTCTCATAGTCAGTGGCGTAGCCAGAAATTCATGTAAGGTAGATGAAATGTGGGAAGAAAAATTATAAGTTTTCGGATATGTTCGACATTTTGAAAATTTTGTAAAATACGATATAATCATCATGCAAATTATGAAGAATGTTTAGATACTAAAACAAAAAAATCATCCATGATTCCGCAACTCATACTATTTTGAAGTGTTTTTTCACTTTGTTCATTACAGTAAGTGCTCTTTTAACACTTACAATGACAACCGATAACAAAAAACACCCATAGAGTTTTTGTTTATATTAAACTCACTTACAAAATATATGAATTAAAAAGTTAAATAGAGATCACAAAACATCACGTTTTCATAAAATTATCTACAATAATATGAAAATCTTGTACTCAATCCACAATCACATATAAAATTTAGGGTAATTCCATTAGGAATCCCAAACTA